CGTGGATAATTTTCTATTCCCCATCCATGAGCGAAGTCCAGGTGTTGTTCGCTTGCAGTACAGTTAGAGAATGGGCAATGCGTTTACTTTACCGGTGCAAACGCGCAACAGGTTGCCTTAGGCCCACTGGCAACAACACCAACTGAGTTCTGCACGTTAAGCCAAAGTGACGCGTTTGCGAAAACACTGCCGCATTCGAAAGTGCCTACGTATTACACAGGGAATGTGTGTAGAAAATCATCCGAACAACGCAAACGAGGAGAGTGAGTGGACGGACACCCCGGTATACTCAAAGGAACTGCGATAGGCAGACTGCATACCGTGCATCCCAATCTTACTTCGCATGGTGTTGATGGATGTGCCACGTTCAACGTCTTTCCAGCAATTGAAGTCTGCCAACGGCGCTACGCATGCCACTTTCAGCTGTGCGTGTCAGGCTCTTCAGTTACCGCGGAACGATCAACAGCGGGACGTGTGAATTAATGACGCCTGCACCACGTCCCATCCACATCAAATTCATGCATTGTTTGCAGTCATGTTGACCGCATTCTCTCCTCATCTCCAACAGATTTACCGGAGAAATAGAATTTGCATATGGCTGAAGATACCTTCCGTAAACTACGCAAGGAAGATTCAAATGTGGCTTGCACAGCAGGAATCTACAGCTAGGCGTTAATATTGATTGAGGATATGTAAGCAGAAATCGCGAACACAGTTCTTAATCAACTGGGAATGTCACCGCAAAACCAATCTGCTGCTGCTTCGTTTGATGTGGATTGGCGCCCTAAGCAAAATGAAACACAGTTCAACTTCTGCCATGCTTGCAAGCAAACATTCACAGGCTAAGTCTGGAGCAGAATGGCATTTACGACCAAATACTGCGGAATTTCAGTAACAGGGTCGGAGGAATCTCCTTCCTAGATGCGCCAGGAGGGACTGGCAAAACGTTCCTACTACGACCGATTCTGCCGGCAATTCGATTCAATAAATGACATAGCCCTAGCACTTGCGTCCCCGGAATAGCTGCAACTCTGCTACCCGGCAGACAACCCGTTCATTCAGCTTCGAAATTGCCTTTGAACGCACAATTCATTGAAACCCCCGCGTGTAACATTTCCAAAGCATCCGGCATGGGAAAAGTACTGCAGAAATGCACAATGGCGCAAAAAAGCGCTCGAGGTCCCTGACCGAACGCTGCAGGATTTGCGAGGAAACAGCAGATCATTTCCGATGCACTACTACTGCTTGCTGGAGACTTCAGGCCACCACTGCCTCGAGCAACACCAGTGGACGAAATAAATGTCCGCCGTAACCACTTACTCCGGAATTCTCGAACGCGACTGGGTGCAGCAAACAATTGCCCTGCCTTTGACAGCGGCTAGATGGACAAGCCTGAGTTTCGCATACAATACGTACAGCCAACCGGTGGCCCTAACATTTTTCTTAATTGGGAACGTGCTCCTTTCTCTTTCCCTTACTTCCCAATTCATCAGATGGAGCCACAGCAACGCGTGGCGGGGTCCGGCATAACAACGCCACCAGCTGCGGCCACTTGACCTACATCGTGCGCGGACACTTATGCACCCAGACAGCGGCCACTTGACCGACATTCGCTCAAACGCACGTCCTCCGCCCGACGGCCGCGCCCACCCCACCACCCACCCTGCAGACACTTGAGCAGGCCCTCCACCCTCTCTGGACTGATGCAATATGGGCCGCCAGAGCAAACCACCCACCCTGCAGCAAAAAAACACGCAGCACTTGGAAGCCACTTGAACTTGCCCCACACTACCCTCATTAATGTGGCTGTCACCGCTTCCGCTGGGATTCTCGGGCGCGACGACTGGATGCAATTAACACCAGACCCTCCCCTCCCCGGCTCAACACACATAATAGGGCTGTCGCCCAGTGTCAGCTCGGTATTGTGCAGCTCGGCTTGCGGAAGCCCGGTTGCGGTCACGGCTACCGCGTTCTGCAGCTTCAGGCATGCTTCGTTCAGCAACAGTATGAACGCAGCCAGCTGGGAGTGGCCGAATGGCGCCAGCGAGGAACAGCGGACCAGCGTCCAACACGACTCCGTGCTCAGCATTCACGCTACGTGATGTTGTTGTGAACGACAGTACGCCAACAACTGTTGGAAGACTACTGATTTTAGGGTAAGGTGATACCATATATACCGACAGTCGAAGACCGATTCCAACGCATTATCGGGATGGTACCGATGGATATCACTACAACGTTAAGATGATAAATCCAGTCAGTGGCGAGGTAACGTACATGAAATGCAGCGCAATGAACCCCTACTCCAACTGACTTATGATGCGACAGAATGTAAGTAATCCCCTTTTGAAATGCCGTCAATTGTAGATATGTATGCAAAAATCGAAACTGAACGCCTGCTTTCATTCGCTTAAATCAGATCAAGCTGCGCTCTGAAGAATATATTCCTTTGCATGATGCAGTTGTAAACGACGGTATTACAACTAACGTTGTAAAACTAGTTTTTGTCGTCCACATACACAGAGAGTCCACGCCATATGCTCGGGTACGCTCGAGGTGCAATTGCTTACGTTTGTCAGTACGGGCGTCCAGACCTACCCACTACATTCACCTGCAATCCAGCTTGGGGGGCTATTTATCTGTTCTTACCTCCCGGGCTATCGACGAGCGGATTCTTTCTTTTCCCATCCATGAGCGAAGTATAGGTGTTGTTCACTTGCAGTACACTTAGTGAATGAGCAATGTGTTTACTTTACCGATGCAAATGTGCAACAGGCCACCGGCAACGCACATTAACTGCGTTCTTCCCGTTAAGCCAAACTGACGCGAAAACACTGCTGTATTCGGAAGTGCCTACGTATTATACGGAATGCGTGCAGAAAATCTTTTGTTCGACGCAAACGAGGAAACCGAGTGGATGGACACCACAGCATATTCAGAAGAACTGCGATAGGCAGACTGCACGCGTGCATCCCAATCAGGACGAATGGTTATTACTCCGCACGGTGTTGGTGAATGTGTCCGGTTCAACGTCTTTCCAACAATTGAAATCTGTCAACGGCGTTACGCACGCCACATTTAGCAGTGCTTGCCAGGCCCGCAATTTATTGGAAAATGACCGACACTGGGATGTTTGCATTAGTGTTGTGTGCAGCACGTCCCATCCACATCGAATTCGTGCATTATTTGCAATCATACTGGCCGCCTGCTCTACTTCATCTCCAACAGATCTATGGGAGAAATATAAATCGCACATGGCTGAGGATATCTTCCGTCAACTACGCAAAAAAATTCCAGATGCGGACTTCACAGCAGGAATCTACAGCAAAGCGTTAATAGTAATTGGGGATATGTACGTAAGAAATCGCGAAAAAAGTTCCTTATCAACCGGGAATGTCCTCATCAAACCGGTTTTCTGTTGTTTCGTTAGATGTGGATTTGCGCCGTGAGCAAAAAAAGCGCTCGAGGCACTCGACCGAACTCTGCAAGATTTGCGCGGAAAAAGCAGGCCATTTGGAGAGATTACTGCTACTGCTTGCAGGAGACTTCAGGCAAATACTGCCTGTAATTCCTCCATCGAAACCAGCAGACGAAATAAATGCCTGCCTGAAATACTTTTTTTGTGGAAAAGTTAACTACAAATATGCGTGTCCAGCTGCAAAACCAACGATCAGCTGTGGTATTCTCACAGTAATTGCTGGCAATTGGGAATGCAACGGTGCCCGCTGATCCAACAGAGATTTTGAATTCACCTGAGCCACAGCAACGCGTGGCGGGGTCCAGCTAGTGGTCTATAAGTTCTGATAAATACGAAAGGCCGCCGCCTTCTTAACCAAAGTCCATCAAAGAGAAGTAAACTTGTGTCATCCGATCGGACATATCGGTTATTGACACTCACTCACGATGTACATCGTTCCCACCGCAGGCAATATAGCACATCCGTACTTCGGTGGTCAAGTGCCGAACTCCATTTTGCCTCGGTAGAACTTACTATGAGTCCAGTCACAGGCCTTTAAGCACTGCCTTACGATATGGGCTATTTTGGTGACATTGTGTGCATTTTATAGACAGTTGAATCAAATTTGTCTAGTCAGCTGGCGGATGCAAACTACCTGCTCAATTTTGTTTGGAAAATGGCCATTTAAGTGAGTTTTGGTTTCGACTCATGATAGCACACTACCCAAAACAAAAAAGGAATTTAAACAATCTAAGTGAGTAGTGCGCTAGGTAACACCCAAAGAGAGACTGTCTGTAGCTGCATGAGTTAGTAAAACAAGCAAGGCCTACTAAAACAAACATATTAGGTAGTTATTCAGATAAAAATCAGTGGGTTACACAATCTTTTCTCGCAGATACCAAAACCGGCCATCTAGAGGCCCCTTCTGCGTGATGCACACACGACACCTCACCAAAAGAGCATTCAGAGGATATGCTAATGCAGCAGCCGTATTTTGCAAGAAATTTTGGCATTCCAAGACAGTGTTGGACACTTGGACAAGGATTTCTCTGAAAGAAATTTGCAACACATGCGTTGAAAGGTGGGGAGTAAAACGGGAGCTCCTCCCCCTATGCACATACATGAACACCAACTTAAGGTTGTGGTGCCAGATCATCTGTCAAAAGCAGACATGTATACCCACAAAGGGGAGCAAACTTTTGACTAGGGAAGAACGTCCATTATTAGCAGCTACAGGTAAACTATGCTGGAAATTTTTCGAGGCGCTCTATTTGAATGAGTCACGCTTCAGTCGATTTGAATGTCGTATATTCACTTCTCAAAAGCCAGTCAACAGCCGTCTATCGGTAACGACAGGACCTTTTGCTCACTGTATGCCAGACGACATGCAACGAGATCAGTCAGGAAGTAAAGTTTCCGTTTTCTCAAAAACTCGAAAGACTACCCCCATATGTATGTACTTCACGTACTGCACTCCTCCTCAGGCCGATTCCGTGAAGTCTCGATGAGGATAGAGGGCCGTTTTGGCATCTGTCGCATAAGAATGGCCGCAGCTATAGCTGCCGCCTTTCGCCTTGCCATGGCCTTGAGGTGTGCGGCGTTAGCCAGAGCCCCGGTGTCCGTAAATGTCCGGTTCCCGTGGCCGCTAGCGTCGGCACCACCGCCGCCGCCGGGGGCCTCAACGTCGCGTCTCACGCGGCCCTCGCCAGCTCCGGCTGACTCACCCACATTACCGGGCCGTCGGGCGGTCAGCGCCTGCCAATCAATGCTGTCGACGAGACAGAGACGAGGGTTGGCCGCAATCAGCACGCTGCGACGTTGGACGGAGGTGAGCGAGGAGAGACATGGTTCCCACCGCAGGCAATATAGCACATCCGTACATCGATCGTCAAGTGCCGAACTCCATTTTGCCTCGGTAGAGTTTATTCTGAGTCCAGTCACAGGCCTTTAAGCACTGCTTTAAGATATGGGCTACTTTGGTCACATTGTGTGCACTTTATAGACAATACAAATTTGTCCAATCAGCTGGCGGAAGCAAACTACCTGCTCAATTACGTATCGAAAATGGTCATTTAAGTGAGTTTTGGTTTCGAGCCATGATAGCACACTGCCCAAAACGAAAAAGCAATTTAAACAATCCAAGTAAGTAGGGCGCTAGGTAACACCTAAAGAGAGACTGCCTGTAGCTACATGAGTTATTAAAACAAGCAAGGCCTATTAAAACAAACATATTAGTTCTGATAAGTTCTGATAAATACGAAAGGCCGCCGCCTTCCTAACCAAAGTCCATGAAAGAGAAGTAAGGGTGTGTCATCCGATCGGACATATCGGTTATCGCCACTCTCTCAGGATGTACATCGTTCCCACCGCAGGCAATATAGCACATCCGTACTTCAGTGGTCAAGTGCCGAACTCCATTTTGCCTCGGTAGAGTTTATTCTGAGTCCAGTCACAGGCCTTACGATATGGGCTATTTAGGTCTTATTATGTGCATTTTATAGTGCGTTAAATCATATTTTGTCTAGCCAGTTGGCGAAAGCGAACTACCTGCCCAATTTTGTTTCGAAAATTATCAATATCGGTTGCTTGTCGCTACACGACGACCTGTGCGCCTTGTATCCTTTGCTCCCACCAGAAAAGGGGGTGTCTGTCCTACGAGCAGGCCAGGTCGCCGAGAGTCACTTCGAATTTACTCCAGTAGAACATATACTTAGATAGTGCAGGCAAATGTACCATCTTGACGCCCTCCCTCACAAAGAAATTGCAGGTGCAAACCCGCAAGTGTGGACAGCCGGTACGTTTGCTCGGCCAGTCATAGAGATCCATCTTCCACTTAAAGCATGGAGCAAGTGGCAAAAGTTGAACACCATCCCAGAAAGTCTTTGAATTATTTTAATCCATTCTAAGGGAGATCACTTATGATTGGACTAGACAGGTACGGTCAAAGAATTACACAGTCATCAGGTTTGACCAAAATCATCATCAAGGGCATAACCGCACAAAAGCATGTTATTTCGGCTAAATCAACAGTGGGCAGTGAAAATCTGTAAGTAGGTGTTGAGGCCTAATCTAGCCTCCAAATGGGCTATGTTGTCTTTGCCTTAAACCGAAATGTAGGTTTAATAGGCAACTTCTACTTGTTTCTCATGTTACTTGTTTCTCAATCTTGCATGAGCCCCCAAATACTGTCTCGAATGCATACTGCATAAAGATGCCAAAATGTACGACTGATTACTAACCACTTATTAATCGATACCAACGCATGGGTCCAATATCTATATTTATAAGGAAGAACTTTAAGGAAATTCGAAACATAAAGGAAATGCTAAGTTATCTAGAAATACCAATTCTTGTAAAATACAGAAAATTCCGAAAGCGTCAAAAATGGCTGCAATTTTGCAAGCATCAGTTTTACACAATGGGAAGTCTGTCTACGCAAAAGACTGAGTAAAAATGACATCACAAAGAGACTAAGGTTTGACAATAATCTTTTAGTGAAGCTCGTACTTAAATATCCTTTGAGAATTAGTGTAAGTCAGGCATGGTAGTTTGTCGACAGCCCACATCCTGAGTATGGACTTTTAAACAGCTTCCCGATAATTCGTTGTACCTTTGCCTTTTAGCGGCAATGATCGGGTGAAGGAATCCCAACACATACGGCTAGTCAACGTTGCCTGTCTTATGGGAAAAAGTGATAACAGGAGCTTTACAGGAGGACCTAAGTTGGCAAAATAAGTATAAATAAGTGGTAAATTCGTTTCTCGGACGGAAAAGTTTCAACGCGTTGCCATATAGCAACCGAAACAAAGAGGAACAGTCAAAAAAATAAACATAACGTGTCTACAACGATCGCTTCTCAACTCTCTGAGATGAGTTCATTGTAAATAATGCACCAGACCGTCTAAAACGATCGCTTCTGAACTCTGGGAGTTGAGGCTATCGTAGATACTGCACCATACAACAGAAGACCCAACTTTGTGCGATGAAACACCTAACCGAAACAATCGCGTCAGACTAAAACCCACTTCAGTGGGTACAGTATTGATTCTTCGCGTGCCCCGGATGCTTTGGGGCCTTCACCCGATCCTTACCCCGTTTTTGCATTAATTAAAATGCGATTAACTATGGCAAACAGGAATTTGCTTGATTTCGTCGATAGGGGATCATAGGGATGACAGTATCATAGGGTCACATGTTGATAGGCCGGTTAGGGATTAAGGAATTGGCAGGTGTAGTCGTAAGCGTATCATTTTGTGTATATAACGAGACCTTTCCTACCGTGAAATCAGTTTGCATGTCACGTCATGACAGCCGCTGTGCCCAATTTTATCACATGTTTTCAGGCCGGTCAGTGATTAATAAATCTAATTCATCGGTATTTTGGCAGATTTCAAATAATTCCATTTGACTCGGCGACCTCGGTGGGATTCGAACGCACGACAGCAAGGGGAAGGCTTAAGTACACCAACGCTCTAGTCACCTGAGCTACGAGGCCCCGCCGGAATACGTGAGCTTAATCACATTTTGATCAACTTTACCACCCCAGCCTGCCCCTATGAATTACTTGAGACTGGTAGTCATCTGTTGGATCTTAGATGTATTGCTCAGAAAATCCTGCTTGGGCAGTCAGCTTACTGTATCGGATTTGGTGAATTCCAGAAGTTGTGGTAGGTTGAACGGATAAACGTGACCCAAATATGATTAACTCGTGCCGTCCGGTGGGGCCTCGTAGCTCATGTGGCTAGAGCGTTGGCTGTACTAAAGCCTACCTCTTGCTGTACTGGGTTCGAATCCCACCGAGGCGCGGAGATTTTCACGGTTTGGTCAATATGAATGTCGGAAATGTTTATTGTTGTCGACTTGGCACTTCATTTTCTTTAGGCTGTAGATGATAAAAGGTTAACTAAAATTTTAAAAAAAATTGTAAACAAATTCTGCAACCACAAATTGTGTCGTGATCAAATTTCAAATGGCTGAAAGACGCGCGAATTTATTGGACAACCCAATATACTCGAATCTTGAACCCGTCCACGGTGCTCTCTTTTAACTACAATGACCGTATCAAAGCACAAACCCGTCCTTGTTTTGGCGTCGTACCTGTTGGATCATTTCACTCCGAATTCGCAAGTCGGCATTTTCGGCACCTAACTGCTGGCCAGTGGCACTTCTTGCAGACTTCTTGGAATGTCGTCACATGGTTTAATGCAGGGATACCTTGGTCGATTACGTTGACGATTAGCCATTGCGGGGTCGGGTCAGCCCGCTGGAAATCGTCAACCAATAATCGCGACGCACCCTTTTCCGCCGATATACAGGCGCTGATTGTCGAATTTCTTAAAGTGCGCGGCCTTGTCGCCGCATCGCACTACCATTTAAAACAAGCAAGCGACGGAAATAAGTCTGTTTCATTGCCTTCACAGATTCCGTTACCTGTTGCCTCCATGTGCCTATTCGTAAAACCCTTATTGTCAGAATGTCTGTCTTCCAGTGCGTCGTAGGCCGGTAATTCTTCCTTATTCAAATAACTTCAGAATTTTGGCCAATGTTGAACACGATAAGCCACCTACTGTAGATCTTCCTATTTGGTCAAAAACAATGTCGGTACGATATTGATTTCATGAAAGCCATTCCGCAATGCATAGTCCTATGTGTCTTTTCAGGTTTCCGGTGATACCTCCGAGGAAGAAACACCCCTGATTTTTTACGACAATCGTCTCGCCTACCATCCCGCATTTCCAGAAGGCTGCGATTTCCGATGTAGATTCACTTCCGACCTGAGCCAGTTGAATCAGTCTCAATTAGCAGTATTTACGGCGAATCCACCAGCGAACGCAAACATCCACTCAGGTGATGCACTGTGGGCATTTGAGAGCGCAGAACCACCGCATAGAAGGCCATGGATCTCGGAGGATGCGAAAAAACGGGTAACCACTTTCAGTTTCCGTTGAAGTAACACACTATGACACGGAGTTAATGAATAATAGATGCAATATGAAGCAAAAGTGCAAAAGTTACTGCCTTAAATGTTTTCGTCTACTGTGCAGGGCGCCATGATTAGGGCTGGCCATCTGGGATTTACTAGTCCCTTAAGTAAGTGTGTAAACGTGAAGTTTTGGCAAATGCGTTCATCGAGTTGATTGGTTGCTCTCGCTGGATTGTGTTTTTCTGGGTGTGTGTGTGCGTGGACGTTTGGGAGGTACCCGATGCTTTGTGTGTTACCAGAATTCCTTTCACGCGTCCCGATGCCATACCATCACTTTCTTGACGCTCACCCTCGAAGAGTGACTAAATATACATATTTTGCGATCATGATCAGCTACGTGCTGTTTTTGTGGTCATCTTGGTACTCGAACTCTTCCTGGCAGCCTTTGTAAGATGCGAGTAGTCAACTTGGAGGCCGCTATATTGAAGCCGTTGCACTTTGGACTTATGGTTTCCTGATATTTAGACCCCGGCTGATGCCTCATATGATCAGTTTTTCTTCCATAGTGGCCGTCCGATGGACGCATGCTAAATGGTGGCTGGAGACGTCATCGCTAGTACATACGGCATAGTAAGGAAAATTGCAATGCAAGACTGACACAAAGTAAAGCACTTTTCACTTGCTGATAGGAAATCTGCCACGAGCATCAGCACCTACGCTCCCTCTAATAAAAAACTATCGGCTTGATCGCAGTTGGTAGCCAGGTCCCGCATTACAGGTGGCTGGGGGGTTTGTTTACGGGGGCTATTTTGTGAAGCTCCATAATCACATGTGACCTATTTGGCTTCCGTTTTACAGTTGTGGTTAGGATTAGGGTACCGGTTAATAGTTTCCGATTTTCGGATTTGGGTTATGCCTTTAGGCTTAGGTTTTCAGGTTGCGGTTAGAGTTTGAGCGTACGACTAGGTTTAAGTATTACGGTTACGTTTTCCAGTTACGCCTATGCCTAAGGGCTACAGTTATGTTTACGATTTCGGTTAGAGTTACGATTAGGGTTGCCGTTAGGGTTAATGTCTAATGTTTACTAGTGAGGTTAGGGTTAAGGTTAGGATTAGGGTTAGGTCAGGGACCACTTCCCATTCCTGGCTACCGACTACGATCTAACCAAAATATGTACGAGGACTTGCATTTTTCCTCGTGCTTGCGGCGAAAACGTCGAGGCTGACCACTCCAGATGACTTCAGTGCACGAGTAGGTGCACTCAGCTATCTGAGGAGGGAGTACTGGCCGTCGGGACATAGAGGGTCGCAATGTCGACGGAATTATAGCGCAAGGACTAGCACAGAATATAAGCTATTCAGTCTCGAAACTGTATTCGGAAACCTAGATAACGAAAGAACTGGCTGGATACATTCCCGCGTTTATTAGTTGTAATGGCTGGACTAGGTACTTGTCAGAAATCAGGCCACCAAAGCGCACTTGTAGTAATAGCAACGTCTTCTGTCGAATGTTCATCAGGTACTTGTCTCAAAACTGGGGCTGGAAATTCTACCATAAACCAAATGACGCGCCACCCTGAGCCATGTCGGGCGCAGACAAAAAGTTGTCCTCAAGACGGATATCATCAAAAAGTTCATGCACGTCTTGAAGGATGGACAGCGATGGCAGCACACGGAAGAAACTGTACGATGGTACCTACGTCACTTCCGCCAAAATTCTTAAACTACCCATCGAATGCATCGCACAGTGGAATAGTGTCAAAGACGCTGATATCCAATACCTCCTACCTGGCATGATTTAAAGTAATTAGCTTACAAAATAACAAAAAGCGCCGAAAGCAGCAGTTAGAAGAGTCAACTGAATTGTCTGTCAGGAGCGCGGTGAAATAGTGAACTTATTCACTACCGCACCGTAGCCAATAGGAACTAGAATCGGCAGCCGCTGCATTTTTCACAATGTGCTCAAAATGAATCATTCAAAATCTGCCAAAGCATCTGTTAATTAAGTGAGCCTTATAAAATAGTCATCTGGTGGATTCCAGAATGGTTGCTTGGGAAATCCTACTTGAACAGTCGTTTTACGGTATCAGATTAGGTGGATACCATACTTTGCAGTATATTGGACGTGTAACTTGAACCAAATGTTATTAAACTCACAGTTTTCGGCATAATCCTCGTATCTCAGATGGTTGGAGCTTTGGCTGTGCTCGAGCTTTGCCTTGCTTTCGCGCGTTTGAATCCCACCGAGGTGGAGGATTTTTTTACAATTGTGCCATGACAACTTACTCAAAGTCTGCCAAAGAACCCATTAAACAGACTCTTCGAAGCTTCTGTAATCGGTGCATCTACAGCGCAAAACATCGATTCTCACGAACACTACTGAAAATAAAAAACTGGGCGGACCGCCTAGCACAGCATGTATGGTCTATAAAAATAAAATTTGTCTTATGTCCGAATTACAGATTTCAGATTTTTCTGGACCAGAATGAGTATGCAAAACAAGAGGTCTAAAAACGCCTAACTTGGAGACTTATTTCACGTCGGCCATTTGTCATTTCTGAGGGAAGGGCGTACGTCTCCTCCTTATTGGTTCAAATATTCCCGATCGCAGTCAACGGGAGAAGAATGTGCTTGCCGATGGCAGTGCGTTTGCTCGAGGGTCAGTTGAAATACTCGTCGGATTAGGCCTCGGGAATGACTACTTGACGAGTGTAATTAGTGCGGAAACGACCGTTTCAGGCTGCCGTGCTCTACTGTTTTGCCAATTGGACTGCCCATTATGACAGTCCAGGAAGACCACCGCTAATACGAGTGGTTCTAGGTTGCGCTCTTATCTCGTCGCTATATCATTTACAATGTTGGTAAGTGGAATAATGTCTAGCAATATCCTGATAATATGCATCGCCCAATCTCCCTTGACATCCTCTATCCGTGGTTAAATGTGTACAGACGGATATGTGACTTTTAGAAACGGAAGAGTCGTATTTTTAAATACATAAAATGAAAAATGTGTATTTGTCCCGTATGCCTATAGTAATGCCTTAGGAGCATTATGTAAGCATATAGGAGCGCATTGCATTTTTAAAATCCCTGTGCAGAGTGGTCCCAGGATCATTTCCATCAGACAACTTCACGTCACGTTCAGGAGGAGTACGAAATATTGTGCAAAGCAAAGTCTTGAACGTCATTACTAACTGCCGTGTTACAATTTTTGAGAGATTGTGCGATGTTCTTGCCCAAACCATATTTTCTGGATAGAAAAATAGGAACGCTGAGGATATTTCAACAACGACTATTTACAGTCGGTGCCTTGGCGTCTCTGTTTTTGGCTAAATAGACAAGTGCACTAAATTACTGCACTTCTGGGGTTTTACTTCTGTTAACATTATTCACTGACTCAGGAGATGCACGGATTTATTTATAAAACTGATGCTTACATAACGTCAAACCATGGCTGCATGTCGTCGATTCTTTACTTGAAAATGCCTCTCACTCCAAATATCGCTTAGAAATTATTGGTTACTGTCATACGGTCGGAGGTCAGTAGCGTTCTTTTCACTTCGTTCCAACAGTTGTCAATGTTTATTACATATCATCCCTACGCTACGGTACCATACTACTATGGAGTCTATCGAGCCTTCAGTAATCCAGAGTGTGTCATGTCGGAGGCACAGCGAGAACGCCTGCGACGTCAAAACTCCCTCCACCTTCTACCGGCACATCATTTAAGAAGGACAAAAAAAGTCGCCTGGGCGGTCTCCGACAACGAACCTCTGAATAACCGCACTAGGCTTGGCAACGCAATTGCTAAGTACATTGAGGTAAGACCAAGGCATATTGATGAGAGTAGCAGTAGGCAATTGTCAAAGTGCCTTGTTATGCATTTTCAATACTAGCTTCTGAAAATCTTACAGGAGCGTTTGAAAAAGGACATTATCATCTTATTTCAGCGTTTCAGTCTATGGATACAGGTCTACTTGTAAAATTCACAAGATTGTGATGCAGTGAATTATGCTAAAATTTACGCGTAGCAATCGCTTTTTCGTTTAGGGCACAGAACGGAGACTTTGTCTGGACAGAGTAACCAGACACATGTGATGCTCACAGTCGAGTCCTGTCCCCACTACCACTGCCAGTGGACCAACTTGTCAGAGAAATTGACACACCAGTAATTAGCACGCGTAACGATATTACGGCGATTAACGACTCAGCCGCTGGCAGTCCAGCAGCTATCGCATTATGTTACATCTTCTGCGTCGAATGCGGTAGCCGTTAATTTGGATAGGAATGCAATGGCATAGAAGCTGCATCCTATTAAAACAGCATCGCTCGTGCAAAACATAACTACCTTATTAAATGTATTTACAGATAGATCAGTGTACGCATTCGAAACGTCCGACGAATAAACATCTTGCTCCCATAATCGGGTCTCCTTCTCCCCAAGGGTAATTTCGCTTGTTTTGGAAGTTTGACTTCTAAATTACCACATTCACAAGCGACAATGCCTATTTTGGAAAGGCATATGTGTGAATTTTGTACCGTGCAAACATTACTGTCGTAAAACAGTTTAGGGCGGCACCTACACGTGCCTCCATCGCATAACACGAAACAGGACTTAATGCGCACACATTGTTAACGAACTTAGCGGACCTGGATGGAAAAGAAGGAAGCGAAGGGCTGCCAGAAGCTGCCATGACATAGCTGACCTCATTCTAAAATCGGCCTCCATATATGGGTGCCATTATTAATCTCGAGCGGCAGTTTGGAAGGCGGATTGTAAATCGTTGTAACAGAGTTTTCACTGGCAGGGTGGGGCACGCGAATGTCATTATCCGTCTCGTAGTCCACCAGCATACTTGGCGTGTTTCATTAAAATTCCCCCTCAACTGCCAACCGCGGTCTATGTCTTTTAAGTATGCATTTGGAAGAAGACGTGAGTTCCTACCAAATATGTAAAAGAATGAATTATTTTATGCATGTTTTCCATGAAATATAATTGAATTTTCAAGGGCATCGAAAATCAATGAGAAAATTCCATACTAATTTGGTAGTCATTTTTTGCAGAGTATGGATCTTGCATGCAGCCGAAAATAAGTTCTTTCGAAAGCCGACACCCTGAGGTAACTGAATCATTATAGATTTATGCTGCATCATGATTAGTTTTACAACACTACTTAATTTATCTCCCCGAAACGAGAACGCATTTCGAAATTATGTTGACATTTCATGAGTTATCACATCTACTGTATATGAGTGCCATTACTAATCTCGAGCGGCAGTTTGGAAGGAAGATTGTAAATCGTTGGAACAGGGTTTTCACTAGCAGGGTAGGGCACGCGAATGTGGCTTGCATAAACAGGGCTCCTCTGATCGCGTAAGTCGTTATCCGTCTCGTAGTCCATCAGAATACTTGGCGTGTTTCATTAAAATTCCCCCTCAACTGCCAACCGCGGTCTATGTCTTATAGCATTACTCTCGGCGTCAGCCTTGCAAAGCGACAATATTCAGAGTCTTTTTTTCCTGGACTGTCCGCCTTCCGCTTTGTGGAGCACTTTTGGACACTGAATAGACGGAGGTTTCGTACACAGAATACGTAGTACGACTTTAGTGATGTTGTTTCGAAGAGAGCAGACTCATGTTTCATTACTCAGTCCTCGCTGCCTTAAATGGATATGTAATTAACAGGAAACGAAGTTAGATGTCAGTGAGTTCAGCATTTTGGAAGAGTCGCGCTGTTTTCAACTTTGTCCTGGGATCTAACTTTTTTATATGTTTAATTTACTCAGCTGCACGACGAGGTTTAGGTATTATATGTAGATGTAAACTCGAGCATTCTGAAACAATTGTTGAAAACAGAGAAGGCATCACATAAAGGTATATGAGAATTTGTCCTGTTGTGGGTGGCAGCACGGCTGAAAGTTTCAGGCCAGCAAATTTTATTCTGCACATTCGGAGAAAAACTTTTCTGGGTTTTCTCGATTTCTGAAATCAAACTGGGATCCCGTTATTCTAACCAACTCAACCTCTAAGTGATTCAAATATTTGTAGACTTCCTTTCAGAAAGTTTAAAACATAAAGAAGGACAGTTATCTGATCTAAAGTAAAATGTGGTATTGTGTATTCTGTAGGCCATCCTCTGTTGGCGGGGTTTCTCTCTTAAGGGTTCAACCCTCACCCCAATAGCCTTGCAGAACGCATTGGACAGGTCTTACTGTATGTAGACTAAAAAAGCTTTGTTCTGAACGCAACAAATTCTGTTAACATGTTGACTTTCCGTTTTAGGTGGATAGGTATGGGAGAAGAGCCAAGCACTGCCCACTTGCGGGGTACTGTTTTGAACAGTTATCTCGAGAATACAAGTTCTATCTATCCTTCGAGAACGCCAACTGCGAAGGCTACATCACGGAGAAGTTTTTCGTGAACGCCCTGGCGTATGTCCTCATGTGTTCAATTTTTTTCGGTCGGACAAGCAAATATTGACCACAGTATTAATGGTGGACGTGCCCTAAATGCAAGGGGCCTCAGGGAGTAGTTTGGGTTAAGGAGGAGGATTAAAATTAAAAGAAGAAAATAGGTACTCTCTGGAAGTTGGCTGGAACTTGCATGAAGAGCCCATATTGTTTGTCATCTACGTCTATCTCGATTCTTACTTAACGTTAGACGGACATAATAACTACATATTTTCAAATAGGCTGAGTCCCTACTTTTGATCCGAATATAAGATGCATGTCGCCAATCAGAGGCAGAGGATGAAGCATGCGAATGCTTCCTTCTTTTACAGGCAAGTGGTAATTGTGGTGTCTGGCCTATCGATAGGCAGATTATCTACCCTGTAAGGTGCATCACCTTCTAGAACAAGTTGACACGATTGCTTCTGCCGTCACATGGATAGTTGAAGTAACCGCGAGCTGCGTAGTACGCAAAATCTGGAGGTGGTAGAATCAGACAGAGTTTACAATCTCTGGCCATCCCCCCACGTCTGCGAAGCAAAACGCAACCAGTCTGCATGGCGCAGACCATCGTAGCTGTCACCAAGGTCAAGGGTGATGTCAATTCTCCCGTTGCTAATTTTTAGACACGGGCGTTAACCTCCTCCGGGCCTATATCGATGGGTTTAAATAATCACAAAACAGTCTGGGGAACTATGATGCTTTGAACGGGTTTTCAGGCTTCAGGATGCTGTCACGTGCAGAACAATTGTCTCTTTCAGTGTTTATTTTGCAAGATAAAAGAGGCTTTGGTTTCCATTGGCCCTGAATAGGTCACAGGGGTATACTCGTTCAGTTTATTTGCCAACTGGTGAGCAGCGCTTTGTTTCAGCTTTCTGCAATGCGGTTCGGGTGGTTATGTCTGTGATGCAGAAGGTTACTGCTACTGAAGTGACCTATTCGCTTGCTTTTGGAGACTTCTTGAATACGGTGGCTCGCAGTTTTTTGGTAAAATTTCGGGGTTCAAAGAGACCAAGCATGGGAAACTGACTCATTCCTCTTCCACTGTAGGATTAATAATTTGGGCAACTAATGTCAGTAATTACCTGAGGCGCACAGAGCGATTAGTCGTGACAACTACAAAGACTTCGTGGACATCACGAGTTCAGAAATACGTTGACACTTGGCGAATACCAAGTGCATAATCTGGCGAGCCACTCTATTAGCAATCAGGCATGATAGACAGGATTAAAAGGAAAGGAGGCGTTTATTAGCGGTCTGGTATTTTGAGTAGTTGCCTCGACTACCTATCTTTAGTGACCGGGAAGTCATGCGCACAGTTCTCCTTAAATGGCACACTTTGTTTCATACGCGGCACGCCAATGTCGCCTGTGTGGCTGCATCCGACCCGCATGTCACCGTGACCTGAATCGCCCCCGCCCTCGTTGGCCGCGGAGATAGTTAACGGCCCCGATTGTTCCGCGCCGTGACTGCCCCTGTTAAGAAGTTTCGTAAAGTCAGGCAGGGGAAGGCAACATGGCTGTCGCCAAGTTCAATGGTGATGTCAATTCTCCCGTTGCTAGTTTTTTGACACGGGCGTCATCCGCCTCCAGGTCTACATTGATGGGTTCAAATAATCACAAAAGAGTCTGGGGAACTCCTTCGATGTTCTGTCAGTGTTTATTTTGCAAGATAAAATTGACTGTGGTTTCCATTGGTCCTGAATAAGTCACAGGGGTATACTCGTTCAGTTTATTTGCCAACTGGTGAGCAGCGATTTGTTTCAGTTTTCTGCTGTGCGGTTCGGGTGGTTGTGTCTGTGAGGCAGAAGGTGACTGGCATTGAAGTGACCTATTCGCCTGCGACTGGAGACTTTTTGAATAAGGCGATTCACATTTTTCCGGTAAATTTTCGAGGATCGAAGGTACCAAGCAAGGGAAACTGACTCATGCGTCTTCCACTGTAGGATTAATAATTTGGCCATCTAATTTCAGTAATTACCTGAGGCGTACAGTGCGATTAGTCCTAACAACTATAAAGACGTCGCTGACATAACGAGTCGAGAAGTGCGTTGACACTTGGCGAGCACCAAGTGTATAGCCTGGCAATCAGCAATCAGGCGCAATAGACAGGATCTCATGGGAGGGCACTTGATTTATTCACTCGCCTGTCATTGATGCTGGGATGTAAACAATCTGACGCGCTTGAACAAATTACGGTGCGCTAAATGCCATTGCTTGAAAGATTGTTAACTGACGGGATAACTTGTACCTCGCAGCCTGCCCAGTTGTGTGTGTTTGTTTTGGACGCCGAAATGGTAGCTTGAGAGTCAGGCTGCAATGTCTCCTTCTTAATGTAGCCTGTATGGCGCTCCTAGAGGCGTCTCCGGTCGCACTAGCCATCGCTGTTGTTGTTGTTGTTGTTGTTGGTTGGAATCCCCGTCACGTGTTTGTGTGTAGCGGTACGCCTAGATGCGGGTCCGTCCGTGCGAGCCACCTGCGCATTCTCCCGCCTCCGGGCTTCTTGACTGAGAGTGCGGTAGGTACTGCGCAAGTCTACTCTCAGGATAAACTGATTCACGCGTGTGGATCACATGGTTGGCATCGCCAGTGGCAGCAAAGAAGCGAGTCTTAGGAAGCAGTCTTGAAGAAGGAGATACGATCGCCGGGACAAGAGCTTTATTAGCCTGACTTTTCGGATTCCTGCTCGAATCCATCATCAGAGACATAAGCAGATACAGATGGTTCATGCACAAGGGGCTACAGTATTTATAGGATGCAGTCGCCATGCTACTGCATGCATATGAATATTCATGGCTCCGCCCCCCCCCTACCTTCATCAGGGATCGCTGCACTTGGTGTGCGGACTGTTTGATGGTCGACATTCGCGTCGTCAATTGCTGCAATTTCATCACGTGCGTTGGATGTTGGTGTGGTGATTGCTCGACCATCTGATCCACCGAGCATGGCGTTGGGAAAAGTGTTCACCTATGCGTTTCCCGCGTGGTTAATTACTCAGCTTAGGTGAAGTCTCAGCACTGGATATGGAAGGGGAAGGTCATTGCACTTGTTAATGGACTGGGGGCCAGAAAACCATGACTCAAGCAACTCTCGGCTCACGCGGTTGTCACCTCTTGCGACAGAAACGACAAAATGCATTTTGGATTCGAAGGGATTACTCTGGTAAACTTGTGATATTTATTATCATGGAGCCCAATCTCAAAACAGTGCAGCCACATCGATGTTTGCTTTTTGCATCCACTCATTTTCTGTCGCCTGCAAAATTACACTCAGCACGCAATGGCCACTTATTTACTATGAATCCTTATCATTGATTTTCGATAGCCTCGTATATTGAAATATACGTCATAGAGAACATAATCAAAAATGCCCTTCCCTGTACACATTTGGCAAGAAGCACTTCCTGTTCAAATTTCTTTATTTGAAGTGAAGTTACATTTTGGTTTTGAAAGTCCTTCGTGAAGACATTTTTATGGACGGTGAAATGTCCGTTCAAATACCATCGGATCTGCTTTTCTATTTATGCTGCTTAGGAGATACGCAATACGGACAAAGTCTAGTTCGCAATTTCTTAAACACTGCATATATCGTATCGACTTTGATAGCAGGAAGGCATGTGTTGTTTAATTCACATGGAAAGTAAACAGCTTCTAGGTGGTAAACTCGAAATTAAGAAGTAACCATAGGTAGGGCTCTAAATTATTTGAGATCTGACAACTTCCCAAAAGACAAAAATATATCTATGAGATGAACAGTCTACAAGGGGGTGCGCATTCCTCCCAAAGCAAGCCCTAGGCGCGAAGTTGAAGGCCTGTTGCAAAGGAAATTATAATTACAAACCATGATGCTCTTTTAAAGTGGTTCGTGAGATGTTGATAGTCAACGACAGTGTCGGTGTTCATTGGAAGTAAAAAAAAACGGTCAATGAAATACTCAAGTGTCGCTTGGCAAAAGACTTTACCTCGAGTGGCAATACTGTGCGAGTACATACAAAGCACAAACTTTCGACCAAAAACAGTATGAATGCGCCCCAATTTCGTTTTATGTGAGTGTTAGTCTTCAACATGTTCTTATCTGGCAAGAATGTGAGAATGCCGTTGTGCCAGTATGTCATCATAAGAGGAACTATGACAAATTAATCCAGTGTAAAACACCGCTTTGCCTTGTTCCCTACGTAGATATGGCATGGTGCCCATTGTGTACGGGGCCTCGAGAGAAGAATTCTACGCACGTGCACCCCCAAATTCCTACATCCACGTAGACGACTTTAAGACCGTCAAAGACCTGGCTAGTTATCTCAACTACCTTGACAAAAATGACACGGCTTATGCATCCTACTTTGCCTGGAAAGAACATGGAGAAGTTCTGGTTAGTCATTTATGTAGTTTGTGTCCACCTTTCAGTAGGAAGTGCATTAAATATTTATTGGCGCCTGAGAAGTAACCTGAATATAAAATCCAAGACCGCATGAACTTGCGTAAGTTTAACCCCAGTTGCCCACTGACCTTCAGGTTCGGTCCCTACTAGGAAGAGGAGAGATTGGACGCCAGTATAGAGAGCAGTGCATTCTGTGCAGGATAACGGAGAAAAGGTTGGGGTAAGTTGGCGGCTGGGCGGGGCACACATCAAGCGTACGCAGAGCAGTCATCCGAGTTCCACGGGAGAAGGCGTCAGAGCGCCTTGAGGGAGGGCTTGTACCTGCGCCAGTCTTCAAGCTGAGCGGTCAGTCTGGATAGGTGTAATTAGCCGATACCCAGACTGTCAATTGTACTCGCGAAAGGTGTAGTACTTCAGCAGGCGCTCAGGGTGGGACCGTTTTACACCCACTCTTTGCTAAAAAAAAGCAGCTCTAGCTAAGCATTATTCTCTTCTTACTGCATACATTTTTTGATAGAAACCGTTAGTAAGAAACAGCCCAGAGAAACATATGTAAGGAGGAGTACACCATAATTGGGAAAATTCCATATATTACCTTCGTAATACAATAATTACGGGCCGATCAGTCAAGCCACAGAATGCATCAAGATCGACTGTCAATTTTGTCGACTAACAGAGAAAGCCAGCTGTATTTTCTTTTCATTTACAGTTCTTAGTCTAATCGGGCATCTCCTCTTCCTCCCTGAAATCTAATTGGACTACTTCACTAATGTGACGAGGCCGTTATACGTGCAAATTATTTGACATGAATGATCTCCGTGAATAATTAAGCATTCCGATCGGTACTCAGTGCGCGAAAATGAGGCAAATTAGCGGAAAAAATGGGAGCGATGGAGGCCGTTGCAAACACCACCCAAACTAATTATAAGGTAGAAGTGGGGACGCTGGATTCGTATTAAATCCAAATTCTCATTTGGCAGAAGCAATTTCACTCATATCATTGATCTGTCCTCATAGCGCTTGGCAAGCGAGAAGCAGTGTGTTGGCTGAGTCACCCTTTTCAGGCTGCACTTTCTACATTTGGCGCACAAGATTCCGTTAGACTCGAGAATCGCCATCCCATCCACATGAACGAAGACCGATAGATTGTTTGGGCAGGAACGTGCCTGCCTCCGGTATGGATGTCAATTATCGTTGCACTACGAAGTAAAAGGGGGACAAGCCACCTTCGGCATGGCTCAGTGTTTTCCTCTGGTAAGATCTGGTCGGATAGTTTGCGTCAACTTCCACATATCTGTCTTTTAGTCTGTCCTACGTGGTGAAGTCAATGATGCAGTGTTTTGGCCGTTACTTGCTGAATTTGCCAGACGATAATAAGTGGGTCGAAAGGACCTCTTGTCGGTAGCGTCAGAATTTGTGAACGCAAGTAATTCGTCACGAAACTTTGGTGTCTCTGGATGATGGCGGAGTCTCCGATCACCTTCTTCATTAGGTCCTTTAAAAAAAGAGAATGCCGAGGAGACCAGCAGAAATGTGGTGCCCACCCTTGCGTGACAATCAAAAATGTCCAAGTGGACACGATGCTTGATTTAGTCTATGTTAAAAGAAGACGGATAAGCTTTGCCAGTGGTTTCTTTTAAGACGGAACTTGTGCATAATAATAAGTGTTAGGAGAAGTGCAGACATTGGCTTTATGCCTAGTTGTACTGTACATCTGTTTTTATTCTACTGAACACTCTCCATATGTTTTCGTCCTTCAGACCTGGTTAAGAGTCGACTGTCGGGTTTGCGGTGTGCTCCATCACGTTCTCTCCGGCCGACTGAAACTATACGACAGTACCCACAAGACGTACTTGGATGAAACGAGAACCTGTACGAACACAAGCCAAATTAACTTTTAATGATATAACTGCGAGCAGTCAATGCAGCACTTTGGAATCCTCCCATCGCCGCAAAAAACGATTGAATTTTCATATGACCGAGAACGATAATACTTGTATAAATTAGGACAACAGGTTTCAATACCCCAACGTTCATTGTTATTTACTTTTCTACAGATATATGTATTGGAATAACTGTCCATTATTTAATCTGCCCCAAGCACAGTCTGTATCCCCACCACTATAGAAGGTGCCGATAAAGTAGACAGAAAACATGTCTGTAGAAGTTCATATAAGCAACTTCAATTTAAAACTTGCTGTGCTATTGATCAGGAAATCGGCGAAAGACCTTTCTCCCTTCACTAATTTTGACACAATGGGATAGAACCTAGATGGACTTTCGATCTGAAAGGATTAGTCACTGATGTGAAAAACTACTGGGTAAGGTCTTATTTCGTAGTCGCACCTGTTTGGGGTTACGGTCAGGGGCTATGGTTATGGTTAGGCGTTAATGTTAGGGGTTGCGATTAGGTTAAGTGATTGGGTTTAGGGGTTGGAGTTAGGGTTAGGAGTTAAGGGTCAGAGTTGGGAGTTAGTGTTAGGGGTTAACGGTTAGTGTTAAACTCCCTGTTACCACCGGCCCTTAAATGACAGACGGCTGGCGCTTGTCCAATGCAGGTGCGGCTACGTAGTAAGATCAAACTAACTGCCGAAGAAGGTGAAGAGGAATGTGACTTGTAATTAGGTGGCACATTGACGGATATTTAAACATGTACTAACAGTCCCATAGTTGAGCAGATGTAGGTCGATTTCCGGACTAAAACCAAGAAAACGGACCTCTCATCCATGCGGGTGTGAAGCAGGCAGCCGAATAGGACTGTGAGAAAATCCATCAGCCTGTCTCGATCCGGTTCACACTGAAAGCCCTTCCCTTGTGACCGTGGTAATTATGGAAGTTCCAAACTGACCTTCGCGACTGGAAGCGTGCTCTTGCGTCTCTCCAAATAGGTGCAGTCTGCCAAACCAAGAGCAGAGCGCACATCAAAACATCTACCTTTAGGACTTGGCCTTGAGAAGGTGCAATCTGCCACCTAGATTATATTATAAACATTGGTCAACAAAAGAAGACTTACTCTTCTTAATTGATGTGAACAGTTTGAATTATTTTACGGGGAACGTGCGACTTTTAGGGTAAGGTAAGGGCCAGAACATCCTTCATCTGTCGCATGTTGTTGCATTCGCAAGACTGGTGCCCAGAATATCAGATACACTTTTATTGGTATAGGTTCCGTGCCCGACTAGAGGATACCTGCGAGCGGAATGGGTATCAACACGTAGAAGAGGGATGAACATGTATTAGTTAACAATAAGGTTCTCATTTTGAACGGAAAACTATAGATATGCCGGTGCTTGTGTCTCTCGAATGCAGTTAGCTTCCCTCAGCGACAGCACTGTTAGTTGTGAGTTAATAAACTCTTATTTCACGAGGAACGTCTACTTGTTCCTTGAGGTACGACTGTGCTCCCTAGATTCTCCGGGACTTACTAACAGGTTGGACATTCAGAAGATTGGGAAGGATATCTGGAGAAGTCAAAATTTTCCTTATTTTTGGCCTCTTTCCCCAGAATAAAACTGAACTTACACGACCTCTTGTTTAGAAAAGGGCTTGTTGGAATTCCAATAAATTCTAAGATCAAAATTAATCGCACCAAATGTGTGCCGTCCCACAAACTCAAATATCGATCTCGACATTTCATGAGTTAGATCATCTGCTATAGTAATGTGGCGTATGGTGTGATAGTGGGATGAATTCCTTCAAATCTGAGCGCTTCTCTCGCTCCCGCTTTTGCAGCGTATATTTCCTTCACCGAAAACTTGGGTTACGAATGAATCTTTAGGCGACCAAACTAGTGACAGGACTGTGGTCAAATCCAGCAGCCAGTCTTAAACTAATCTTTGCGAATGGAAGTATACTACTGCGTTTATTCACATACATGTTATCTGCCAGACCAAGAGCATAGCGTGGTTCGAAACCGCAATTCATGTAACTAGGCACTCTGAAGGTGCAACCTTCAACCTGACCCATCAATCCAAAAATACTTATACTTCCAAAGTGGGCTGGATGACCTGAGTTTATAAGTCCTCATTTCACGAGAACATGTGGTTGTCCCCGGAGGCAGGACCGTGATATCTAGACTCCCCAGGAGTTACTAATGTGCCAGTCCTTCGAAAGATTCCTTACTGAAATTAGCCCAATTGAAAGACAACATAAATAAAACTAGAATGCTCCCGTTGATGAAAGTGGGATCGCACCTGCGGGACAAATCAGGGGATTTTGGTTTAAAATTGGAAAACTGTCGGCACAGTTCACTTAACCTTAATTTATTTGCGTTATCTGATGAGCACGTAAGATTGCTGGAAAGTTTTTTTGGTGCACGCAGATGTTTCGGTAAACACACCAGCACTGACTTTCACTTGCACGTTTTCAGATCGTTTGCGGGCCCTGAGTTCGTTTGGCAAGTAAGAACACCTGGTTAAATGATAGCTACATGTGATAAAATAGTTAAATGCTGGAGCTTACCGAAGATGTAGACCATTTCGATGGTTGCAGGAAATTTCGGCAAACAACGCCTTCGATATTGATTAAATCCCAAAACCTCCGCTTAGATTGTCCCTTCGATTCATAAACGTGCTAACTGGGTAACTGGCTTATAATTTTTATGGAGTTGAACTGACAATATCTAGTCGACTACCCCTGCGGCATCACTCCAGCCTGCGTTATTTAAATCGTTCAAATGACGGCGAGGAATAGCACGTTCTGACTTCGCTTGATTCGTCAGTTAGGTTGCCTTAAAGATGGCCGTTTCAAAACCAGAACGCATTTGTTATTCGCTTGTATTCTTATTTGCGGCCTCTTTGGAGCAACAGTATTTAAAGCAGTGAACTCAGAAGACCTGCAGTGTCACCTATTTTGCTCTGAACAATGACGCACTGCTTGTTTAAACCCACGGCCCATGTTTTATTGCTCAGTTTTACGTACCAAATAGGGCATGCTAAATTTGTCTGAAACAACCGTGATGTATTTATATTCATGCAGTTTGGCCTGCCTGAACTTTAAACGGCGTATAAAACTTCGTTTTATTTCGAATTTGTAGTTTGAGTTTTCCACATACATTAAAAATTATTTAATCAATTTTCATGTGTGCAGAGTTCCGTATTCCGGCAAAAAATGCATACATCAACTGACTGAGCTCTCATTCGAGGACCAAGCTTTGATCATTTTCTAGTTATTCTCGCCTTTGGCGTGGGCCACTATCATGATGGTTTCAGAGGTAAGTTCGTGATCCATTTCGAAATTGTGGGTAGCCAGTTGTGGTAATTCGTTACCTCGTCGCATAGCCAGCCCACGCCTAATGGAGCTCCGACAATGACGAAGGAGGCTAGAATGTCAAGTTTTAGCCTAGTAGCCGTCATGAACCAGTCATACCCAGCCCCAGACTCAGCGTTTAAGCTGTCCTCCAGAATTAATATTTTTTCGGAGTTGCTGAGGGGAAATAATTGTAAACTGTCGGGCGTTGAGGGCTCACCCGCGTGGTTTCTTTTAAAGATTGCCTAACTACTGACAACAATTGAGTAACGCTTCTTATAACAATTAGAAATGACCGCCTTTGCAGAACTGTGGACATACTAAGTTTCCGCATTGAGACTTGCGCACCATTAAAAATTTACTCCGTCTGACAACGCGTTTTTCATTACCTGCGGCGTCAGATATGCCTTTGGGGTAAAATGTGTTTGGAACATTGAAACTCACTTGATTTTTACCATTTTCGGCATTTAGACAATCTAGGCATTCTAAACTTTGGTTTGGAAGGTTAGAAGAGTCGCACTAACGAGATTTTCTGATTGTTGATGATGACGAGTAATGAGGTCTTTGTGAAAGACAATCCCTGTTTAACTCATGGTTTTCTTGTTATATGTTCCACTGTCTGGGGACTACGCCGCCCACCACAGCATATAACATCAGCATAACGGCCACGTCCCTACCAGTGTATTGCTCTAGGGGAGTGCTCAATAAGACAATTTTTTAAAGTTTCGATTTCGCCTAGATAAAAACAGCAAACATGTTTTCGGGCACTGGTCATAGACTGACACTTCCATCTGGGCCCATAAATTTATTTGAAAAATGCGTATAACCCGTGATAGACATCCAAAACTCCATGGCCGCAGTTCAACAAACGCCCCCGCCTTCCACAAGCCTCTAACTTCCAGACTGTTGGTACCATCCCATAGATCACTAAGATGCTTAGGTACATACAGTGATGTCTCAACCCCTCCAACGTCTGATGCTATAGTCGCTGTGGTGCCGAATACGTCTAAGAGGCGGAGCTCTTAGCCACGCCCTAGTAGGGGCAAGTACATTTTTAGTAACCCCCACGACTATGCGGGAAAGCCTTAGCATTCCGAATCGCCCAAAAAGGCATGTGGGTGGCATTGGAAACTCCATCAAGCTTCCATCAAGGGCACTCAAAGCAATTTCGCAACCGCCCCAACTACCATTTCCATAACGAACTGAAACAAATAATAATTTGGATTGTGATCCCCGCGGGAAATCTGGCAAGGAAGAGAGCTCCAAGTCGTGCACAAGGAAAGTTCTATCCTCCCCTGCAGAAGGACTGTTCCCTAAATCACTTAGGATTATCCTCAGCCCGGACTTTCACAAGTAATTAGGGGGAATGGCCGGATTTGGTTACCAACACTTTCTCCCAAGATCTCCGAGTCGTCTCAATATTCGAAACTATCCACCTGCCTCAGGACATCAGTGGGAACACGAGCAGGTGTCCGCCCCGACAAGACCTGGCACAAAGGTGCAGGTAAAGGCAACGCCAGCGAAAAGGCGAGTTCTAGGAAGCAGTTGAGATGAGGGAGACGTGAGCGACGAGGCAGGGATCCTACTCTCTTGACGTTTCGGATTCTCACTCGACCTCACCGTCAGCAACAGTCTCAGATAATAGTAACGGACG